CTGGTGAACGGGATACCCGTTTATCGCTTTGTGCCCCTCTACCTCGTTGAGTTTATCAACGCGATCTACTACATGTACCATGACGTTTGTCGCCTTTCGGTATGGGTGTTATTGCCGGCTGAAGCAATCAGGCCCAGCGAAGCGCTATGACCTTGAACTTTAGTCTAGATGCCTGTACGTGTTTGCGTACCGTCTCCGTCTAGCCTTAGAGTGTACTCTGAGTGCTCTGAAATAAGATAAAACGAAGTATAACACGACCTTACGGCGTCGCTCTCGACACCCTAACTTTTTCACGCTACATTTTTCTCTGCGTTCCTTTGCTTTAGACTATATTTTGTTGCGCCGTCAGTAATATCAAAGGGGGCGCTTCGAATCCGTATGGTCAATCAAGCAGCTTGGCAAGTACAGCTCCACGACTTTGCCCGTCTTTTAGTGCGCTCTCATCCGCCGGCTCATTCAAACGCACGCAAGGAACTTACCGTGACGTTGCGCTTTTATTTTTTGTGTTTGTCTGATTTTACGTGTCTTATAGCGAGTTAGTTTTACACGCACTGACACCGTGCGAGTTTTCTCCTAGAATGCATCGCACTCGCGGAGTGTCGCACGAAGAACTGGGGCCATATGTTGCGCTTTTTGGACTTTCATGGCGACTAGGGAGAAGGAAGTGACATCAACAATGCAGCAAACGCATATTGGATGCTGATTGGTGAGAGTCGCTGATGACGAATTTCTTCAGAAGAAAACAAAGAAAAAGTGAGCTTTGTTTATTTCTGCAGAAATTTGTCATCAGTGACTCTCACCAACCATCGACCTGGGGGGTCAGGTGAAGGATACGATTGAAGCGCGACTAGGAGAGGTGGGGACAAACATTATTAAAAATTATTTGTTTGTAACTAGAAGTATAATCATTTGTATTTTTATACAAGCTAAATATAATTATTAGCTATTATCAATCATATTTGGCGCGCTATAAAAATCAAAACTGTCTTTGTTTTTGCTAATATTATGCGTACTTCTTATTAGCGTCCTCTGTACGCCACTAGCAAAAAAGGCCGGCAAGCAATAGCGATATTTGCAGTTCTTTGTAGACCTCCTGGTGCGCGGAAAGGCAGGCTGCTGACGTCCGTCTGCTTGCTTGTGTTTGGGCCTCCACGTGCTCTTCGCTTTTAAGTGTTTTAGCGGCAGTTAACTCCGTTAGGGAAGTTTTCTTGTTTGCTCGGGAGTGATTAGCCCAGTCACTCGCGCGGGAACTCGGCAGTTGCGCGCTTAGACCTTGGACGCTACTGCGTCCAAGGGGCTCAACGTCCTTTGCGACGATGAGCACAGCGCGATACGCAAAGAAACGGTGCTCCGTGGAAGTGTGTGGACGCGACACCCGCACGACTGGCGTCTCGCTGCACCGGTTTCCCTTGACTCTCGAAGGTGAGATTTCGCTACTGTCAGTAACATGCCTGCTGTGTGATGTCATGCCCCCTTGTTCGGTCTTCTCTCAACTCTTGTTAATTTTACCTAAAACTATTAGGGTTGTCTGGATGTGCACAAGAAACTACGCATGAAGGCGTAATATGTTATACTAGGAACGTTTTAACTTCAATATCACCCTGACTTCACTGCGTTGTGTGCCGTCATTTTAAAAGTGCCCACGATATTCAAATTTACCTTACCGGCCTGGCTCTGAGGAGCCTAGTGTCCTGATCATCGGCGTGGTTATCAGTGTACAGCACAGATATATAATAGACCATCTGTGCGTAAGACTCATGTTTTTACTCTTCAAAATTTGCACAGAGCGTTGATGTCATGCATTTGTTAATGTCCTTGCTCTGATTTCCTTTGGTTTGTGGGCATTTTGGCTACATTTCTTTTTCCTAAGTATTCACGGCACTCACATAACACCATGCTTTATCTGCAGGCGCGAAGCCTGGGTTCGGTTTTGCAGCAACCGAAGTCTACAGGGGAAGATTCCATGGCAGCTACGGCACAGGGTAGTTTGTTCTTTACATTTCGAGGAGTCAGCTTTCCTGCGGCCTGGACACATCCGTCACAATGCGTTGCCAGGTGTGCTTCTCAGAAAAGGTGAGCAGACCAATAAACTTTCCGCGCACTTTGTGACTAAGCATGGTTAACCTGCTCTTAGAAACACAGTGAATATTTCAGCCACATGGGGCTGAAATATTGCTTCTGTAGGCTCATAAAACTTTTATATTATTTGCAGAGACGACGCATGGCGACATTTCTAGCAAAAGCTCTCCTGGTTTAGACGTTGTGCATGGCGAGCTTTTTCACTGTAACTAACAGAAAGTAGCAGCAACTGCCAGCACTACTGCATTACCTCATGGTCCTCATGACCTGAGCATTTTGCAATAGAACTAGGTGAGATTAGCTGAAAAAAGCTGGCAGAACATGGTCAGAGGTACCGCTAGAAGTTCATTTCAGGCACGTTAATAATTACATGTTTTATTTGAGGCGACATAATCAACGTCAATATAGGTCCACAGAGCATCTTTTTCCATACCGCCACCCAGTCTTCCAAATTAAAGCTGCCCATGAAAAAAAGTTATTTACATTTTGTGTTAAAATAGGTGAATTCACCATAAATTTGCAGAGCTGAGTTCGTCACTCTCATGAAGCTGCACATACTTCAGCAGTTCAGACTCACGGAGCTTCTCTGGTCACGCTGACGACCAGTCTTCCGAAATGGAGCTTTCGTGGGAAAAAGGTGATTTTCCTTGTCGTGTGTTAGAATAGACACATAGGAAGGAACTCAACAACTATTTCATGACTAACTTCACGCTAAATTTTCAGAGAGCAGTTCGCCAGCCTCATCGCGCTGCACATATTCCGGGCGCTCAGACTGGTGGACTTTCTGCGGTCACCCTGACAACCAGTCTTCTGAAATAAACCTGTCATGGAACGCAGGTGAATTTCCTTTTTATGCGTTCAAATAGGGGAATAAGGGAGGACTTATTCTTCTCCTTCGCTAAGTTCACGTTAAATTTGCAGAGCGGATTTCTGCGATTTCGTTGGACCACACATACCCGTGCACCGAGCAAGAGAATAGTCCACTCGTGGACTATTCTCTTGTGGTGGCCGAATATTGTTTGTGCTATCCTTTTAGTCTCATTGTTTTTGTGAGCTTGCTTTCTGAGTTGGTAGAAACAGCACAATTTGACGAAGGACAAGAAACAAAGACTGCACAGACAGGCGCTGTAAACATACACAGAGAGGCACTGTTTCTGCCAGCTAAGATGAACAACCAACTCGCCCAACTTTCCGCTCTGTTGAACTTGCTTTCTTACCATACAGTTTTTGTAGAAGCCTTTATTTATTTCATTTTGTTTGCAGTTGATCACAGCTACGCTCTACCTCAAGATGCTGCTTCTGCCCAAGAATCCAGCGGGGACGCGGCTGACTTGGAGATTTTAGTTTCTTCACCCTCGTCTAGAAACTCTCTCTCTCTGGGTGTGCTGCTGGGTCTTCTCACAAATGTAAGTTCTTTTTATGATGCGAACTTTTTTTCTTTTGCAGGTTTTTTTTTCTGAAATTATTAAAGGTCAGACCGCAAAAATAAAAAGGCCAAGGCTCGAAAAACACCAGCGGATACTAAACTTTATCTTGACAGCTGATGGCGCAAGGGGTCACATAACACAAGACCGGGTAGCTGGCAGCTACAAAACGAAGTTTGTTCAAAGTTCAGCATATTTTTGCGTTTCATGGTATTTTCATTGTCAAGCACACAAAAAGACAAAAAATGCTTCTCACGCAGGTGTTAACGCTATCGAATCAAAAGAGCTCAACCGGTTTCACTGAATCATAAGTCTTCCCGCAAAACCTCACGTAAGACATGATTTTATAGTTATCGAAAAGCTGCCCTGGTCATATGTGCCTGATGCTGAGCCTGTCATGGTCGCTTGTCCTATCTGATAAACTTTAGTTGCCTGTTTTTTTGCGAGCGTTTCACTATTATTTACGCCATGGGCGTAAGTAAGGTATGGTCAAGCTTTAAGAAAATGCATTTTACAGTTTGGATGCCTATTCTGACTTGCATGCTTCTGTGTGCGCCCCTGTCTCTTTGTAATATCAGGCCTCTGGCGAACATGAAGCGCCTAGACCGACATAAAGATGTACTGCTGCTTTCCTTAACTTGAATTGCATATGTGTAGTCTGTCATTCTTGCTGCTTATGTTTAAAAACACTTTAAATCGTTGAGGAGCATTCTTGAGTGTGAATGGATTACACATTTAATAAATTGATGGCGAATGCAAGTTTTTCTTGGAGACCTGAGCTGGGTCATTTGTCAAATTGTAGCACCCGGCAAAAGCCGCAGCATTTACGAGAAGACGATGAACGCCATGAGAGCCAAGGTGCGACAGCTTCAAGAGCGTAACAAGACGCTCCAAAGAAGGCTGCAACGACAACGTCAGATGAGGACTGTTGCCGAAGTTGTTGAATGTGTCCGCGCTCATGTGTCTCCTGCTCTCGCTGCACTTGTTGAAGCCCAGCTTAGAATGAACAATGTGAGCCGGTTTGGCCGGAGACGGTGCAGCCACAACAAAGCCTTGTCTTTAGGCCTCTACTTTCATAGCCCCAAAGGCTATAAACGTAGAGTAGAGAGTAGAGAGATTGCAGGCGACTGCTCAGGCTGCGATCTGTAATGTCACTGCAGCTATGGCTTCAGCGTGTGCCACTGAGTGTTGGATTTTACCCTGACATTTTTGAGCTCATAAAGAGGCGGGCAGCTTCTTTTTCTCGAGCCTATCGGGCCTGCAGCATAGTGTTTGATGAAATGCACTTTAAAAAAGAGCTTTCATACAACCTCTCGTCTGACAGGTTTGAAGGACTTGAAGAACATAGCGGACATCAAGGCAAAAAGCTGGCAAACAAGGCCCTCATGTTCATGGCAAAAGGAGTCGGAACACCGTGGAAGCAGCCACCTGGCTATTTTTTCTTTTTTTGCTCACAAAGGCACACCTTCAGATGTCCTAAAAGATCTCCTTTTCCAGTGCTACAGTGACCTTGCGGACGATGGCCTGGAGCCGGTAGCTGTTGTATGCAATCAAGGGAGCCAGAACGTGTCTCTCTTTTCAAGCATCGTAACTGCCGAAAAGCCTTACGTAGAGATCAATGGCAAGCCAATGTTTTTTTTTTCCTTTTCGATGCTCCGCACCTTTTGAAGTGCCTTAGAAACAGGTTATTCAAATACGACTTCAAAGTTGGTAATTACCTAGTGAAACGTTCCTACATCAAGGAAGCTTATGGAAACCCTGTTGGAAAATTTCGATGATGGAAAGATGACGGAAAAGGCTCATACAAGCGTAACCGTAATATGGGACATCCTATACAAGCGAATCGTCGGATCCAGTATAGTGGATTAAGGCGGAACGATACAGGTAGGCGGAACCACACAAGCGTGTCGTATTATGGGACATCCTATACCAGCGAAGTGGAATATGGCGGAACCGTGTGGAACCATACATGCATAACGTAATATGGGACATCCTATACCAGCGAAAAGGCAATACCAGAACTGTGGAGCCATATGGCTCCAACATGCTGGTTTCGCCTTTTCACTGTTGTACAGGGCGATTTAGTTTTGAGCTTTACATATATGTTTAGAAAGGTCGTGAAAGCTAAATTAATGTGGTTTGTGCAGGCGAGTTATACGGCCAGGCGTACGTAGTATAGGGAGCTAATCGTAACAATCAGTCAGATAATTAAATACAATTTGTTGATTAACTTTTTCATTAGTGAAAATGAAAATGTGGTTTCAATTAGAAACTTGCTGAGTCATTGAAAACCACAAAATCAACTCTTTTTAGAAGGATATAATGCAGGGGTAGCCTTTTACGCGTTCTGTAAGAACGCTTTATTTGGACGAGTTTCTAGGTTTCAGTTTCTTATCAGAGCTCATCTCTGCGCCCAAGGTCCTGTTCCCCCTTAGACACGCAACGCACGTGCGCCTTGCTTCCCTCCATCCTACGAGGGAGGCGAGGGGGCGGCTTCGCACTGTGGCCATTGGGCAGCAGTACCACAGGTGCAAAGATGCGCTCTGGTAAGAAACCAAAGTCTGGAAACGCGTACAAATTGAGCATTTTTTTAGAACGCCATAAAATGCTGCTCTTGTTTTATATCTTCACAAAGAAAGTTGATTTAGTGTGTTTTGATGATGCTTAGCAAGTTTCTAATTGGAACCATGGGTCTATTTTCACTGATTAAAAATTTCAGGAACATACTATACTTAGAGAGAGGCTGAAGCGGTTTTGTATTTGAGAAAACACTTTTAAATCTTCATATGACCTCCAGAATCTCAAATATGCAAATTATTTGGTAATTTTATGAATCGAGGCTGCATAGAGTCATTTTTAAAGCGCTGTGAAAGCACTTCCCTGGAGAGCGACGCCACAAAAGTGGCTTTCGAAATCTTTGCTCATGCATCTTCAGCACCTATCAAAGCTATGCACGAACGTGCTATTTCTTAAAAGGGCAGAAAAATGTGTCACGACTGGTGCCAATGCGGGAGAATATACCTAGAAAACTTGAGATTGGACGCGCGGCCCTTAAGCGACACGCTTGGCGGCCGAAAGGTCTTCTTACGATGTCACTATTGGTAGGATGTTTTTTGTGTTTTCTCACTTTTAGTTATATCTTTGTGGAAAACGAACGGGATATTCAGATTCGCGGGATAAAACTATGCTAGGATGAACCTCCAATCTAGTTTTCTGAAAGAAGACTGGCACATCTCTGTAATAAGTTGACTGATCATTACAAATTAGCCTTTTATACTATGCCGCCCTGGCCTTATAACTCACGTGCACAGACCGCGTAAATGTAGCTTTTACGGCTTTTTTAAAAAAAATCTGTAAAACATACAAAAAAACACTCTCTAGAATGTCCCCCAATACGATACGATTGAATGGTTCCTTTCCCGCTTGCATTGTTCAAGAAAGACCTGTGGACATCCAGCGTTTCATTGGAATGCTGGATGTCAGCGAGTCTACATTAGTGAGTGGTTTCAAACAAGCATGATGTTTGCACACCAGTAAGCTCTTATCCGAGGCTCACCAGGAGCACTAAGAGCAGAGGCAAAATGTCGTGACGTGGTAAATTTGGTTGCAGGTATTTATTTTTAGAAGAATTGCAAGCAGCAAAGCTTAACTTTGCTCAAAAGAAGATAATTAAAAATTCAATACTGAACAATGGTGTCCCTTGAGCTGTCAGACCAAACTCTCACTCTTGCCACTCAGGAGTTCCTAACTTGTGCGTAGAGGATCAGCACAACCCAGATTTGTGCTGGAAGCGCACCTGCAATATAAAAGTTGAATAAACATGAGATGAAATATGAGACGTTTACAATTCTCTGTAATTGGAAACTAGAGCACAGATCTTGAAGAGGAGGATGGGAGGGTATGACCCCCCACCCTCTAACCCTCCTACTCTTCTGCTCCCTCCCATTTAGCGAAAAATTTCCCTGAATTTAGCGGGAAAATTTGCCCACTAAATTTAGCGGGTTAAGTTTTCCACAAAATTTAGCGCGGAAATTGATGTCACATGACCTCAACACAAATGCAGTTTTCCCACTAAAAGTAGCGGGGAAAATGACGTTGCATGACCGTGTCATGTCATCCATAAAAAATTCAGTTTCTCAGCTAGACTTAGCGGAAATATTAACGTCACATGACCGCAACATTAATTCAATTTTCTGCCAAGTTTAGTTGGGCGGTTACGCCGAGGGCGACGCCGTGAAACGCGGAAACGGGTGCTAAGAGCTGCGCTAAAAAAACTAAATGCAACAGGTGAAATAAGATGAAAATTAGAGATAAGAAAAACAGAAGAGAATCTAAGATACCGTTCTCAGATCCTTCCTTTTGTCCGTTCTCAAATGTTTTGATTTCAAGAAATGTTTATCTCTTTATTCATACCCAGAGAACCCCTCCCAGTTTCAGCATGAATGCAATAAATCAATGCAGACTAGACCTTGTAAACCATAATGCACATGAAAATGAATGTTCGCCACATAGTCATGTATGAGTCGGTGGCTAAGATCTCTAAATACATTTGTATTGAGGAACATTCTTGAATAAAACTTCTGGGCTTTGAATTCGACAGTTTGTACTTCCATAAGGAACACTGTATGGCACTGATTTTTTTTGTGACACATCAGAAACAGCAGTGTCATCCTTGCATACCTAACAATATTTTTTTTTTAGCATGGCATGTGCTATTTTAATGCTTATACAGCCTCCTTTAACAAAATTTCCTTTGTAGAGCTTTTTATTGGTTCTTATTTAACTCGCACGACAGATTCGGGACCTTGAATTCTCACTCGGCATCAACAGTTTTATATATTAATGTAATAGTGAAAGACAAGATTAATGGTCTTGAGTACGGCTCAACAAGCACAGATGTTGAGAAAAGTACTGAGGAAAACTCAAATGTCAAAATAAAAATAAGCTGGAATGTGGATACAATTAAGGACATGGTCATGAATACAGTAGCAGATTCAATATGAAGAATACGTGTTGGACGCACACTCAAAGAAACCTGTTGCATCTATATTCATGCAAATTACTTCGCAGAACCCAGCGCTGCAGTCTCGGGTGCGAGTTCGCTGAATGAGTCCACTGAAAATGAGTGCAGACGGAAAAAGCAGTTTGATCTGTGACAATGAGCATTACATAGGCAAGTGACATGTCATTGTTACTGTTACAGTGCCGAATCTTTCAAACTGCCAGTCGTATCATTCTGCGAGTTCCATCCGTATATTACAGGGTTTGGCTCTCTTGAATTCTTTGCGAGAAAAATTATGAACTGGAAATGTCTAGCGTAGTTCTAAAAAAACTACCTCCAGAATCCTAACTCAGCATCGTAAAGAATATAAAAAGTTTCTAGAGATAAGGTTAGTGCAGGAGTTGAATAAACTAAACACTTAGTTTTGTGAAACCATCTTGCCGTAGTAAACGTATAAAGTTCCCCTAGGTAGAGCTAGTCATTACGGATGGTTGTGCCCATTGCATACCATAAAAATTTAATTTGCGACCTACACTATTTACAGACTCAACCAACTCTGAATAAGTAGAACACTTGGCACTAAAGATTGGTCTCACCATGACTGTCTGCAAACATCCAGATAATAATTTCCATAAACCTATGCATTTCATGAAAATATTTGGAGCGAGCTGTTTAAACTGCCATAACACTTTTTAACACTAATAGAAAGCCTGTAGTGGGCCACAACTTAAGCAGTTTTTACTTCATTATGAAGGGCAATAACAAATATGTTAACCTTAAAACTAGGACTGCACTGAATTGCTTTCTTAAGTTGAACGTGCTATGCTCGGTTCAATATATTATCTTTGCAGAGCTGACAATGTGCAAGTTCCCATTTTTTTTATATTGCACATCTCCCGACTGCTGGGTGGGGTAGGTACATAAGATTAATGACACCAACGTAACACAATGATTATTTTAAGAATTTGTTTGGGTATGGCACTAGCGAAGCCATCTGCGGGAAGTTATTTCTGTGACTCCGTCGAACCTACATCCGTGGGCTTTAAGTTCACATGTGAATCATGTCTGCAGACGCCTTTTTGTAATTGGAATTCCATCCAAACCGAGATTTCAATGTTTTTTGCATTTTAGGCTTAGTAGTGCTTTTGCTGTTTCACTTCAAGAATAGGTAAGAATGCTTATTTCAGGTAGCATACCTAACATTTGGTGGCATGAGGACTCCCTTGTTGTGATGCTAATCGAAAGCCACAGGCAGGGAGATACTGTGATGCTCTTGTTGCTGGGATTACCTCCCCCATGGTCCTGGCCGGACCACAGAAGAAGATTGAGTCCAAGCTTGTGGCCACTAGGATCTCCAGATCTTGAGGCAACCAAGTAGCTGGAAATAAAAACAAATCACAATCATGTACTTGGCAGAGCTACATTAGAATGGCTAGCATATTCTTTCATGATCAGCACATAGATCCTTTTGTTTTTATACTTTGTACTTGTACCTATTAAAGAACT